AATGGATTAAAAATTTGGGTTAGAGATCTTGTGTTGCTACATTGATTGGATTACCGTGTGTCATTTCCCAAGTCTGAGTGCAAAAGTACACATTTGGTAGCGTTCAAGAAACGTTCGACATCAGCGCCTTTCATTTCCTGTATCACCGAGTTGATGAGCCATCGGCCAAAACTGGAATATTTAAATTTAAGACTTAAAGCTAAGTTTAACCAACTGAAGTTCGAAGCCCAAGTGAGTATCCAATATATATAGACATGTCTGGATTTCCCCGCGTCAGAGTTAGATAATATATAGAGCTGAAAATTAATATGATTGTATTTTGATGGTAATGCATGTCGTCATTCCTGCTTTTTCCCGAGCGGTCAATACTATACAGGTCACATTCTGAGCGGAAAATCCTATAAAGCTGAAGGGTTGGTCACTCTTTCGTCACTTTTCTACGACATGAAGTGTGGTTTAGTCAGCTGGACTAATATTCTAATAATATTCTAGTTCGTGCCTGCAAGGACATTCGCTATTGCACGCAATCATGATAAAGTTAGATGATCTGTAAGTTCAGAATCATTTCATGTAAAAACTGGACGGCCTAAATTTAGCTTATATACTCGATTGACTTGTGGACTGAAAGTCAAAATGATGACATTTTAAAGTTGCATTTTACGAAATCAAAAGGCTTCGATTACAAATGACTCGAAAGTAGGTTCAAGCCCCATCAGAGATTAAATTGTTTTTTCAGGCTGATATTGCAGTAACTTCATCGGTTTTCTCTTCAAAGCAAGCAAATCATCGGAAATTGTTTTCCTACAAGAAAGCACATCCTGTTGATTGGAACTTTTCTCGTTTCTTTTAATATTAGCGGTATTCAACACGAAGTTTTCAAATAGTAGTGGTGCTTGTCTTTAAGAGCAGCATGTCCTATGTTTTATTAATAAGAGAGTTTTTCAAAAGAGATGTCTGATTATGTTTATTTGTTTGAGACATCTATGGAAAATGAACGATGTCTTTACTTCTTTTCGTTTTGAAACATCCATAATGTTAGAAATTGTATGGATTTTCTCAACTGGTCTTGGAACACTTCTCTTTTTAGCTAAGATTGCAATATTCTGTTGTGTGAAGTTTTACAATCACAGTGAGCCTGCGGCAGTGGCTGCTTCTGTGGTATTA